TAGAATTCGATCTTGTAAACTTATATTGACTAGTTCTTACTTCCTTTAACTAGTTTATGATCGTTTGGCTCCAACTTGAGGGCTTGGGCTTGTTTTCGATATTGGAAGTGCGGTTTGGAGCGAGGTGAGTCTCCTTTCTAACCTTGTAAGAGGGAATTGTCCCCATAGGTGTAATAACTGAATAATTATTGCTAAATGCGGGGGCTACGTACGTACTAGGTGACAAGAGTCCGTGCGTAGCTACTATGATATTAATTGTATGGGTAGTTTAGGACCCACATCATGCCTAATTTGAAAGTATCTCTTATTTAAATTGCCACTATGATCGGTCATGATATGCTACAGACTTAAAGGAAATATGAAGTGAACGTATGAACTCGTTAAGCCTTGGTAAGAGCTTCCTGGTATATGTATGAAACCTTCGTGTGCATTCTTGATGTTTTCTTGATATTTATGGATCGGGCCGATCGCCTCGGTGAGAATAGATGCATCTATTGTTCGTGTCGTTCGACCCTCGGCAGTGCACATTTTAATTCTGTTGGAGCGGGCCGTCGACCTCGGTGTGATTGCATATGATATATATATATATATATATATATATATATATATATATATATATATATATATATATATATATATTTATATACTTGAACATGACATGCCTACTTGCTTAGAAATTGAAAATGTAAAAATGGAAACTGAAATAAGGACAAGAACATGATTATTGCTCTTTGTTATAACTTGTTAAATATTGGTGACTTTCATGCTTAGAATAGCATAATTATATTATATTATCTTGACCCTAGTGAGTATCAAGTCGACCTCTCGTCTCTACTTCTTCGAGATTAGGCGGGATACTCACTGGGTACATAATGTTTATGTACTCATGCTACGCTTCTATACTTAAATGTATAGGGTCTGAGGCAGGTGGATCCGGTTATTTCTCTGGTGCGCATTCGTGAGCAGGCTTGGGACTTTTACGGTGAGCTGCTTTCCTTCCATGTCGATCCGCAACCGAAGAAGTCTTTCTTTTGTATTGTTATTTTCTGTCTATTCGGATCCAGACAGTATGGTAGTGTGGTATCCTTTTGGATGTATATTCTAATAGTTGCCCGTAGCTTGTGACACCAGGTTCTGGCACACACTTTGGTAGACGATTATTTTGGGGTTGTGTAAACATATTATTACAATATTCGGTTCTTCTGGTTTAAACTCCAATTTGAGTGTTTATTTCACTTGTTTTAATTAACAGCAACATAAGTATTTTAGAAATGTTTCCGCAATTGGCTTGCCTGACAAGGGTGTCAGGCGCTCTCATGACCTATTGTGAAAATGGATCGTGACAGTTCCATTTGAACACTTCAACCATATCTCATATGTGTCATTCAGAAACAAAAAACTGACATGGCAAGTTAAGTGTTCCTCACATCTTCCAGGCGCGTGAAATGGTCCAAAAAACAAACTCCTCACCCTTTTTCTCTTTTTTTCTTTTTTCTATCTTCCTCTCCTTCATTTTTGAAATCCTTCAGAATATCTTCATCAAATCGGTATATGCTGCTCTGTCCCACGCCGAAACTGTAACCGAAGAAGATTTAATTTAACTTGTATTAACGGGAACTAAGAAAGAACCCTGAGAGTGTGAAATTTGTCTAGTTGAAGAACTTTTCTGTAACGAGCTACTACAGGTGAAGAATGAAGCTTTTTGAGTACAATTCTAGCGGTGGTAATAATGATGACAGAGTTTTATGGGAGCTCGGACTTCCCCGCGCCGACGATCTCACGTCGTTGACTCTGCAGTTGATTCTGGCCGAACTTGCTTCTGCGTTCAGAATCTCGCCGGAATCCTCTCAGTCCGTGACTGACCACCAGCAATTTCTAGATGTGCTTTCTCAGATCAAACCTGGGGAAGAAAATGAAGGAGGTGGAGAGTTTTGCGAAGACAAAGTGGGAAGGTGGGGGGTCGTCGGGAAGATGACGGAAGGAGGGAGATCATCGGAGAAGATGACGAAGGGGTGGGGGCTGGTTCTTTTTTTATTTTATTTTAATTTATGTAAGTTAAATCCACGTGTCCTTATCTTATTCGTCACTTTGACGTGTAAATTATACGCATCTTTTGTGTTTGACTGCCTATTAATTTTGTGTCCAAATGGCACATATTAGATATGGATGAAGTGTTCAAATCGAACGAACTTAAGATAGAGTGTGTAAGTGAAAAGTGAGGACAACTTTAAGGGGCTGCCGATATATTTGGCCGGAAAAAAATAAAGATTTTCAAATCGGACCCTATTCGATTAGCGTAATATTCTTGCTGTTATTGTTCGGAAATGGAGGAATGGAGCAAACATGAGAATCATGGTTCTACTGACAGCGTTGTTACTATGGAGGAAAGGGGGTGGTGGCAGCTATGGTGATGGTAGAGTTGAAAAGATGGAGAAGTTTTTTTTTTTTTTTTTTTTGACAATCAAGAGTTTGACCCTTTTTTTAGGTGGGTCGGATTTTAGGGTTGGGTAAAAAAAGGGTTAAAGGTGGGTTTATTTAATTGGGTTATGATTTAAAATTGGACCAACAAGAAGTTGTCATGTGTAATTTAAATAATTTTATTATTATTTGGCACACTGTTAGTCGTAGGAGCATAAGTGAGCCATAAAGATAATGGTTTGGGCTCAATAGGTGGACGAAAGGCATATTTGTACCATATCGAATAGTCTGAGGATAATTTTGGACCTTTTACGTTGTTTTAATAATACAATATTTGAGTAGATTTTTTTTCTCGCTTCGTAATGTCACATCCAACAATTTGAAGAATAATCATACAATATTATCAAAAAAGTAGAATATGGAGTAGAGTAATTATTAAAAGTAGGTTAAAGAGTAATTAGAAGTATATTAAGGATAAGATGAGAAAAAAAGTAATGTAACAACATGAATCCACCAAATCGCTGGTTACATAAAAGGGGTCTTTTTATCGTTGTATAACAAAGTTTAACAGTATAATATAATAAAATTAAAAATAATTAAAATAAATATTGTATTTAAAATAACAATACGATGCAATAGATAACAACCATCCAAACAAACTGTTAGTGAATGGCTTATGATTTTAGACAATAGAGTTTGATGGCCAATGACAAATAGCAAGAGGCTTACCTTGATCCAGAGGAATCTGAAATTTTAATCTTTACTTTCTTTTTCAGCTTTACCATTTCCTGAATATTAAAAAAAAAAAAAAACTTAATGTTAAGTAGATGATTTACAAAATTTAAATTCTAACTAGTTACTATACATAAACTCTAACAACTTAGCAAATTTAATGTTCTTGTTTAGATTTCTAACTTTACACAATTTGATTTCATCTTTATTTAAAATTGCCATTTCGAAGGGAGGGGAACTGGACTCTGCCTCTTCTATTATATTTACATTACATTACGGAGAAGTCCATTCTCGTCATGAGGCTTAAACTGCCAGACAGAGACGAGCTAGCTGGACTCTTACGTAATTGAGTATAGAAAGAGGAATCGTCTTATGTGCGGATTGAAGTGCGTGATAGAGATAGATGCTTCCGTAAGTTTACTTTTTTCAGGAAAGCGGGATTTCTCCCGTGACGTCCAATAAGAGCACCTGCTTTCCTAACCTTTTTCGATAAAGTTTATCCATCCTTTTTCAAGATGTAATATAATATTTTATAACAAATAAATGACAAATTGACAAGAGTAAAATATCAACAAAAAATTATTTTACCATGTAAATAAACACGATTAAACAGCAAACATTTACAAAATAAACCAAAAAAACACACACAAGAATATAAAATAAACTATGTGTAGTAAAAGCAACATAAATTTTTAAATTAAGAGGGTGTTTGGCTAAGCTTATAAGGCAGTTGACCAGCTTATAAGTACTTTTTGGCTTATCTACGCGTTTGGTAAAATTAAAAGTGCTTATAAGTTAAGTGCTTATAAGCCATAAATAAGTCAAAAGCCATAAGTTGGTCTCCCCCAACTTATCAAATTTCAGCTTATAAGCACTTTAAGTTTGACCAAAATATTTACTATTCTATCTCTAAAATACTTCTTTTTAAAACAAAACTCTTCGTATACCCAGTTCTTCAACTGCATATTATTAATTTCAGCACTTTTATCCAAACACATAACTGCTTATCTTTTAAATCAGTTTCAGCACATAAAAGTACTTTTCAGCACCTAATGCTTATCAGCTATTCTAAATCAGCTAAGCCAAACGGGCTCTAAGTTTATTAAATAATCAACTTTCACCGCTAATACAAGGTGGGCTTTTTTCATGGTTGAAGTGATACTTGTAGACTTACTATAAATTGGAAATTTGAAGTGGAGAGAGAAGGGAATAAAAAAAAATATAATTTGTAATGTCAATTCTTTCCACCTTAACTATCCATTAACAGAAATTATTCCAAAAGACGAGGAATAAAAATGAAAAGGAAACCAGAGGGACAGGAGAAAAATAACAATAACAACAATGACCCATTAGAATCCACCGGTGGGATTTGGGGAGGGTAGTATGTATGCAGACCTTATCCCTACCACGAAAAAGGTAGAGAAACTGTTTCCGGAAGACCCTCGACTCATAAACACTAGATTTGTAACAAGAAAACCCAAAATAATATCAGCACCGTGAGAGATAACAAATAAATGGAAAAACAATAACACAAATAATATGCAAAAGTATAAAACATAACATAAATCGCTAGTAATGCTAGACAAACCACTATTATAGACCGGAGAAAAAGAAGAATAAAAAAAAAGAGAAATTATGCGCTATGACCGCTGAAATACCAGTTTACTTTATAAACATTTAAAATATTTATTTTACCTAGTTTACCAAAAAGAATTTATTTCAATTTCAGAGTCAACATCCAAAAGTAAATTTTTTAGTAAAAAACGCTTCGTCGTCGGGAAAAACAAACAATTAAGCAAAACCCCCCATTTTAACATTCTTTTCGATCTACAATGTTTTCTTTTTCTTTTAGTAAAAATGTAAAAATTAGTTGTCATTCCTATGTTATTTCCCTGTGTAGTATCTGAAGGCAAAGTTGAAACACAGAGGGAGCTAAAACCCTAAAACCATGAGACGAGCTCTTTCTTCTTTGTGCTCTCGCAATCTCCACACTTCTCAAAAATTTAAACCAAATCTGAATTATATCAACAGCAGCAGCAGTAAAATCATACACTCCCCGGTTATTTCTCATTTCCCTTCAAAGTTTAAATTCTTCTCATCATCAGAAAATGATTCATCGAATCAGAACGCATCTGAACCAAGCCCTCAGTCCGAGACGCCCGAAACTAGCTTGGCCGAACCCACAAAGAAAGAGGTCTCTCTCAATGTTGAAGATATCAACAATAAAGGTGAGAAAGCTTGTATTTTGTGATCTTCATATCTTTTTGGGGATTCAGTGGAGATTATTTGTGAAATCTGAGAAAATGGGGGTTATGGGGTTAATTTTTTCGCTGAAAAAAGTATGGACGAAATTAGTTTTTGGTCTATGATGCATGTAGTATACTAGGAAACTGCATTATTTGGGGATTTTGCTGATTAATCTTTATAAAAAGAGTGATTTTTATGGTTAATCATTACTTTAATGGATCTCTCTTGCTATGATTGATGCTGAGTTACCCGTATCTGTGTTGGTGGGAGGTAGCATGTACTTGATGGGATAGTTGAGATGCGTAAGCTGCTCGGACACCACAAGTTATAAATAAAATAAAAGAAAATAATTGATGCTGATTGCTGACTATAAGATATTGGAGAAAATTTAAGGGATAGAATTCTGGATTCTAGTTTATTATCGTCTCTATGTTTGTTATTCCGTTTGTTGTATAAGATCGGGGATTATATATTTTAAATTTAATTGGGTATCTTGGTTTCATATTAAGTAATCTCGTTTGTTATATCTGCTGTAGAGTTGAAGACGCGGATTGAGGAGTACTTCAACAAAGGCAATGAAGAGGCGCTTCCGTCAATTCTTGAAGCAATTTTAAAGAGGAAATTGACGAGAAAGCATGAGCACACAGATGATGAGTTAATGGAGGAGCTTCAAATGAAACCCCTGGATGATGTAAATGACCAAGAGTTTGAATCAGATTTCGAGGATGCTCACTCCACTGATGAAGAGATTGAAGATTTGTATGACACAACTGATTTGGTAAAGAGGAGAATGGCATCTGATCAATTCTTCAACATGGATGACAGAAAGTGGGATGATATGATAAAAGAGGCTACCGAGCATGGGTATCTTAGGGATACGAAGGAGTGTGAGGAAATTTTGCAGGACATGCTTAGCTGGGATAAAATTCTACCTGGTACTACTTTTGTATGCTCTTCTGACTTCTTTAAAAGTTTTTCGGATTATGCAGGTGCATAATATCTGTGCTCCAATTAAAAATGAAAAAACAATATTTATGCTCCAATTCAGTATCCTGCTGATAATGCACGAACTTTGATGGGCACAGGGTGTGATTTCCATAATGAGTTTTTATATTTCAGTAAATTTTTGTTTTCTAATTCCTTTCTCGTTAGGTTTATGAAATTGGTACAGTGATGGAAAGGTATAGTTAAGAAAAGAATGGTTAAACTTCAAAGAGGTGTGGTTGGAATGCTGGAAAAGTAGGTTAAGGTTTCTTGATCGTGCGAATTACATGTTACCTGCGTAACAAAATTCTTTAACTCTTCGGTCAGTTAAATATCCTCGCTGGATAAATTTTTGAAAGCTTGTATGAAGTTACAAGCTTTATTATATTTCAGTTTCACGTAATGTTGTCTCTTTAAGACATTACTTGAACTTGTCTTTTACAGGATGTAGAGTCAGTTTTTGGTCATCTTTTTGATGTTCCAATCTAATGTTGTATTTGGATTCTTTACTCATTGGATGTTTTATTTTGCCCAGATGAAATTAAGAAGAAGGTGGAAGTTAAGTTTGATGAGATAGGTGAAAGGGTTGAAAAAGGTGAGATTACTCCTGAAGAAGGCTATGCATTGTTCAAGGAGTTTGAGGATGGGGTGGTCGTGGAGTGCGCAAAACTGATGGAGAAGGATGCTCCACAGTTTGATGAGAATATGTTGCCAGATAAGAACAAGAATTTGGATGACCCGCCAGGTGAAGGGCCGGTTCTTAGATGGCAAACAAGGGTGGTCTTTGCTCCTGGTGGTGATGCATGGCATCCAAAAAACAGGAAAGTCAAATTGGCTGTTACGGTGAAAGAGTTGGGTCTGTCAAAGCATCAATTTCGTCGCTTAAGAGAATTGGTTGGAAACCGCTACCATCCTGGGAGAGACGAGCTTACCATAACTAGTGAAAGGTAAGGTCACATTGTGGGTCATCTGAATTATTAGTGTCTGATCTTGTTACGGGGTCGCTGGTACTGTATGTTTAGGCTTAGCTTCTAACTGAGTTTTATTATGTAACTACCTGTTGAAACAATTAGTTAGGAATTATTTGACTGCTGCTTATTGGTGCTCCTTTATACACGCATTTGAAGCTTGTGAAGCTTACCAGGAATAAAATGTTTCTTTTTCCTCAGATTTGAACACCGCGAGGAGAATAGGAAGGACTGCCTGAGGACTCTATTTGGTCTCATTGAAGAGGCTGGAAAGGCTAACAAAATGGTAGAGGATGTTCGAACTTCATATGTGAAGCAGAGACTCAAAGCAAATCCTGCATTCATGGAAAGGCTGCGTGCAAAAACCATGAAGCTAAAAGAATCTAGCTTGCTGCATGCATGACATAAGCTCTTTCCAGCTGGCATTTCTTGTAGAAGATAAAGGAGAGGTTATTGATGTGCCTTCTCTTTGATATTTTAGAACGTTTTTCCACATTCACTATTAGTACAGGTTTGCAAGGGCAACTCTTACATGGTCTGGTGCGAAAGAATTATCAGTTACTTTTGGTGGCATGGTGATGTATTAGCTACCCTTGTTCTCAAACCATATCAAGAAGATTGGAATGCCTAGGTTCGAAGAGTACTAGAAACCATGTTAACGAGATGACCTATTTGTACTTTAACAGCTGCCC